AGTGCTGGTTTTCTCACGCCCAGAAAACAACTTATTCAACCATTCGGCAGCACTCCGAGTTCCATGGTGTTTCTGGGACTTCGCCCTGCGAGACCGAAGCTGAAAAGAACCTGGGTTAGTAGAGGAACATCGTCTTCCAGTCTCCATGCCATCAGGGGAACCTGGGAATCTGAAAGGGGTGTAGAGTAAGCAAATGACACATGATCACTCTTTCATCGACCCATCCAAACCTCCTGAACTGGGAATGGCTGCCAGTGACTGAAAGCGCCACTTCCACCTTCCTGGCGGTGTCCTTCCGAGACTTCCCCACGCCGCTGAATCCGCTGAAACCGCCACGCCATTCGGACCGAGCCTGGTCTCATGTGACCGAATGGCGAAGCCATATGTCACCCCAGGCGTCCCGCGGCGGGATCTTCCCGGGCCGAGGAGGAGCACCTTGGTCCGAAAGCCAAGGCCGCCACGCAGAGGAGCATAGCAGCCCAGGCAGCGGAATCTCGGAGGCTTTGTACCCAACAAGATCTTCCTGCGGGGTGTTCCGATCACAGCGACCGAGGAGCAGTTCAAGCAATGCTTTGCGCCATGTGGCACTATCATGAAAGCGGAGCTCCGAACCGAGGCTTTGGGTACATCACCTTACGGGGCTTTGCGCCGAGGCGGTGGATGCTTGCTTGGAGAAGTACGAGGAGCACTACCTTTGTAAGACATGGGGCGAGGCGAAATGGTCCATCCCTAGGGAGCACATTGAAGCCAGCGGCAGCAACGGCGGCTCCTGCAGGAGCGGTTTTGCGGGAGCACCGTTTTGCGAGGCAAGTGATCCAAGAGCTCCCAGTTGGTTGGGTCACTTCACCAAAAAAGCCGTGTGTTTGGAACCCTCAAGTTGCCTCACGCCAAGCTTATAAAGCGCCGACGCGTAGACGCACTTGGACGGAACCGTCCGAGGCTCGGGACCCGCGCCGTCCGAGGTGGTCACCGAGATCTCCCGGATCCAACAGGTGCTCCACTTGGACTTCGTGAAGGCACCGGCATCGCGCTGCGACCGGGCGCCCGCGCGCGCGGGGCCGAGCGTGGCGGCGTCCGCCGTTGGTTTTGGAGCACCTGATGGTTCGGAGAACCTTGTGATTCTGATTGAGCTCGGAAGTTCCAATGATGAATTCTTTTGTGACTTGCCATGGTTCCAAAGAACATGAGCCAGCAAAACCATGCAAAAACATCAAGCATAGCCTTCCAAGGGTCAGGTTTGCAAATGCCGTCTTTCTATGCCTTTCTTGCATGTCCTTATGTTCAACAAACTTATTCTGATAAATCTCGGTAATTGATGGCCTTTGATCATCTGGAACTTCTGGATGTTTATTGTTTTCCACGTTTTTGGGCTTTGTAAAGGGACCTTCTATACGTACCTTGGATCAGACCTTGACCAGCCCCTACTCCCTCACTTCTGGCCACCCGCAGGTGCTGCACGAAGAGCCTTGCCGCAAGATGATCAGCCGTGCTCGCCAGGCCGTCTGGGTTTGTCTGGGTCCGTGGGTGGTGGGCATCGCTCGCTCGTAGCTCTATACGAGGAACAAGAATGCTACCCCTGGGAGTCCAAGACTATTGACACAATGGTCTGACTAGGTGACACGAGTCTAGGAATGTCCTTTACTTCAGTCAGTCAAGATTTACAGAGCCTTTGGACTTTAAGGGTTTATATGCATTTATATGCCGATTTCAATTTCAATACCACTGGGTGTGTTTGCAGGACAGTCCCCCCCAGGTTTCAAGTCAAGAGCATACCCTTAGCCTTGACAGTTTCAGCTCCTTCTCTGGGAGCTTTTGAACAGCGGCAGGGCATGGCTTTCATCCATCTTTCTCTTATAAAGCTCCCATGCTCCCAATTACGGAACCCCCCAAAAAACAATCCACTGAGCTCCTCCACACCCTCCACACCCTCCACACCCTCCGCCGTCGCCCTCGCGCAACGCCGCGCCGGGAACCTCCGCCCTCGGTGTCAGGCGCCAAAGGCCTCAGGCGGCCGAAGGGGGTGATCGGCGGGTCACCGGGGCGGGTCACCGCTACGGACACCGTGGGCCGTGCCGTGCCGGTCGCACGGTGGTTCGGACGACGCATCCCGCGAGGGTCGCGTGCGAGGCATCGCCGCGAAGTCGGGTGCGAGGCCATGAATACTACAGTAGACGCTCGGATGCGGGCGCATGTTCCTGAGGTTCCCAAGAATGCACCGATGCGCGGCAGTTCCGTGATATCAGAGTGATACGGCGACATATATATGAATTAGCTGTCATGAGGTTGTTTCTCCACCGCCGTTTGTGTCAACTCGGCTTCAGTTTGAGCGGATGTTCAGTAAGAGGCAGGTTCCATGTTGGAATGGCTTCTTTGACCCCACGTTGAGGGGGTCATGATTCACCATTGAAGCAGCCCGACCTGTGAGTGGAATTCCCTCCCTTAAGCCGCGACCCTGGACCCAGAAGGGTCGGAACCTTCTCACCAATCGGGTTTGGAGGGACCAGTCGAGCTGTGAACGGAGCGTCTGGGTCGAACTTCAACCCTCCTTACCGGACTCGAGACCCACCGAGGACGTTGATGGGATGCTAAGAACACCCGACATGGCCCCGACATCCTCCAGTCTCGCCATTCCAAGAGAGCTAGAGGTTAAGTGACCTGAACTAGGACCCTACTGGAGTACCTCTGGGATAGTCATGGATAGTCTATAGGGTCCTTCAACCGTCACCTCTGTTGGTTGGCCAAAGCACCAGAAAGCCAAGCCACACCGCGCTCGCAGTGAGCGACCTGGGCACCGCGAGCGTTCCGGTGCCGCGGTGGGTGTTTGGGCGTAGCGGTGGGATGCGGAGGGGTTGGAAAGGCAGTCCAAGAATCCTAGGCACTCCATAGCTTAGAGGAGTCTTCATACCCATGTAATTACTGAACAGTCTGAGAGTTTTGTTCTCAGACCGCCCAGCTAATGGGTAGACTGTAGACGACCAGTCTATGTTCATCTCTTTTCCGTCTTCCGGGGGGTCGAACTGGGAGGTCTCCCTAGTTTAAATATGTTTAAATACACACCCATGTCATGGATTTTTCTGACTTACACGCATTGAAATCCTGCGGTCCTGCGGTCTCCACCACCTGGCCTTTGTGGCAGACCCCGACATGAAGGTGCTGGTAGGGGATTCGAGTCTAGGAATTTCCTTTACTTGGGTGCCAAAAATGGACTTCTAGGGCCCAGTTGGGGGAACCAACTACAGTATCCCCAAGCACCGTGAAAGCAACGAGGATGTTGCTGAAAGCAATGATCGAATCTGCCATGGTGATCCACGGTGTCGGAATCAAGAACGTCAGTGGAGGGAGAGGGAGGATGATCCAACAGATTCGACATCCTATTTACTGTCAGAGATTTTCAGATCATCTTACATCTATGTCTATGAGCACAACATTCATTTCGCCATACTCTCTGCCCTCCACATATGGAAGTGTAACGAATCGTTTTCTTTTCTTCTGTGTCCCACTCCACTCTTCCCTAAAGCTTCCAGCGTTGCGCCGCTCACCCTGTTTTCATGTCGAGAGGATGAATCCACCCATGTCGGTCTGTTGAGGCCAGTCGCCGCTTCCGGGACTTCTTTGCACAGTCGGGGGCGCCAGTCGGGAGGAGGGCGGGGCGCCCAGGCGTTTTTGGGGGGTTGTGCTTCATGGGCACCCCTTGCTTGAGCAATATAGCATTTAAGGATTCCGACATGGAACTGCATGGTATGAGGCAGTTGGGTTGATTTTGTTTTGATATTTGATGAAGAAAAACATTGGTGAACCCGTTCCTTCTTTGTTCTTTCTTTTTAGATCTTTTTAGATCCAACCGATCCATTCTCGCTCGGCTCCTGCGCTGGTTTTCGCCAGAAGGAGAAGATGTTCGCATCGCCGCCTCCGCGACGGACTGGATGGACCTCCCGGTACGCACCCGTCCTTCTTTCGGTGTCCTGCGGACCGGCGACCAAGGACAGATCCATTGCCACAGAAGGAGGCGACCTCGGGGTGGATTCGGGTGGGGTGACGGCTCCGACCGCAGACCGCCGAGTGCGGACGAGTTGGAGCGCCCAGTTGATGGTATTCCTACCGAACGCGCTTCCTGGACCTGGGTGTCCAGTCTGGTGACCGTTTTCAGTGTGGGGGCCAGCCAGGTCGAACGGAAGCAGCTGGTACCCAGTCAAGATAAGCTTTACTTCTCATCTCAGGGAAACTGAAGGATGTCAGTCTGGTCTTTCGGGAGGTCAAGTTCTACCAGACCCTTTTGGCCGTCCCTCGGCCCACTCCATCGCCGCCTTTCTGGGCGTCCGGACCCCGCGGCTCGTCCGGGTGCTCCAGGGGTCCAGGCTCCAGGCTCCGGGCCATGAGACCCGAAGCATCCATCTCCTCGGACCTCTCCCGCGCTGGTCCGGAGGTGCTCCAGCATGACTGGACCTCTTCCCCGTTCCTTCGCATCGAGAAGGTCCGGAACCCCCCAAAACCCTCAAGCCCTTTCCATTGGAGATCGGGCCCCCGTTCCTTCTTCGCAGGTTTTTTTGTGACTCCCTTTCACCAGCACCCCAGGGGTGGTATTAGAGACCTATATAAACCATAATGATGTATAGACAATGAACAACCGCCCCAAGCTTGAAGAGGATTTCCCATTCTGGGTTATATAGTTATATATGAATCAAGAGTCTATACATGGTTTCTATAATCCCTAAAGAAACCAACCCTTTTGGGATCCTCTTTTTCTCCAAGCCACTCCGCCCAACGCCCACTCCAAGCCCCTATCTCTGCCAGGCGCATTGTCAAACCGAAACCTCGCTCTACTTAGAGATGGACCGGCCAAGGCGCTCCGAGCGAAAAGCGCGGGCGAGCACCAGCCCAGCAGGGGTCAGGTTCCTGTTTAGTATATAGGTTGGGTCGTGTGGGGCCTGAACTGACCTGTAACAGGACCTGTAAACCAGAACATCATTACTTTTCTGACAAGGCCTCTACTAACCATCATCCACTGTCACAGGTAGTAGGATAGACCTTATAATTCTATTTCTTTAAACGCAGAATGCATCAAGCTTTTGAGCCCCATGCCGAAGCTTCGGCAGGCTTCGGCCTTCCCCTGCTTCGTCCAAACTCCAAACCGGTCGGAATGGCTCTTCGATGGGTCCCGGGGAATTAGACATTAAACAACATCAATAAACTACACCCCCCCGTTTGAATTGAACATCCTCTTCAAAGGGGGGGTTTATTAATCAAGAGCTCTACATTAAAGGTATAAAGCAAAGTACACTCTCTGGAACTCACATGGTTACGTGGATGGCATACCCTGCTTTTCTAGAAGAAGACCTGGTCGGGTCCGGTGTTGCCATCCACGTCACCAGGTGAGTTCCAGGGTTTTCTACTGTCCACAAAAGGACGTCCAAGAGATTGGACCCAGGTTCGGAGTTGGGTTCTTTGGTATTTGGTCAGCGACCTCAGAGTCACCTCTCCCTTCAGAGTCGCGCGTGGCCCGCTTCAGCCACACGGTCGACGTTTCGGTCGGGTCGCACCGGTCCGTTGGGTGTCGAAACGGGGGTCCGTTTCTGCGGTCCCGGCCCGGAAGCGACCGGCTTCCAAGCTCCCGGGTGGTGAGAAGACCCAGACGTATCTAGACACGACACGTCTGGGACTGCCAGTCCGGACTGCCTATATACATTGACACCCCCAAACCACCACCCCCCCTGGCCGTTGCAGTCCGGCAGTCCGGCAGTCCCAGACCTGTCGTGTCATCTATGTTCCGACTCGCGCTGCCGATGGTGCGATGCCTCGGAGAAGCGCTAGCTTCGCCCAGGAAACGGGAATCCCGGCATTCCAATCAGCCCATGGCAGGGAAGCCTAGCGCTTCCTGTTGCGGGGGTGGTGCCAGGCCTGAAGCCTTCGGTCAGGGATGCTTCGGGATGATCAGGATGGGCAGGAGAACAACTTGGATGCTTCTTGGATGCTTCAGGACTGTCAGGATCAGGAGAAAGAACTGAGCTTTTGGAGCCGCAGGGGGTTCTCCGCCCCAATTCGCTGGCTAGCTCTATGACTCTATGAAGTACTTCACAAGAGAACGACGCGCTCCGCGAGAACGCCTGCTCAGTTGGAAGAAGCCAAGACGCAGAACTTCGGAGGACAGGTCCGTGGTTTATCCATGGGTGCGAGTCTTGTACAGCCAGGGTCTGACACTTGCCGTGAACTTGGCTTACACTTCATGCTTTTGTTGTGTTTGATCCCCTACACCTCCAGTCGTACCTCTTCAGAAGGTATGTCTGGACCCAAACGAAACGAAGGTACGACTGGAGGCCGGATCTTGAATGGTCTGGAAAATGTCTGAAATATTGGGGGGGAGATTCCCTTGAAAAGATCCGGACCATTGGGGAGATTCCCTTGAAAAGGCCGGACCTTGAAAATGTAGATGGTGAACCAGGGATTCCCTTGAAAGCTCGAGAATCCCTGCGTTGTCGGAGCTCAAGGCTTCGGAGTTTACAGACCCGTGCTTGCAGCTGCGACCACCCCTCCCTCATCCTGGCTGATCCTCGCCTCTCAAATCACCCCGGGTTCCACCGGGGGGAGGCATTTTGGTACACAATGCTCCCCCAATGCTCCGGTCATGTGATTACATATCCCCCCCACCATCCCCCACCCCTCCACTCAGAGCTGGGCAGAAAAAAGAAGAGCCCCCGAGGTCCCGGCCACCCCGGCGAACACGGGTGAACGCCCCCAACTCCGAGCGTTCCACCCGGAGGAGGTGAGGAGCACTTCAAAGAGAAGGCCCGCGAAGCTGCGATGAAGCCGCCCCTTAGCCGCCCCAAAACGACGGACGCCCCGGGGTGGGCCGGGTGGCCGCGCGTCGCGGGTGGGTCGCGCTCCGTTTCCAAAGGCGGGGCGGCCATGGCGGCCGGGGAAGGCAGTGTGAGGGGGGGGTTAAGGTGGGGGTCCATCGGTGCGTCACGGTGCGTCTGTGGCAGCTCTTTTGGAGAAGATCGGTCCACTGGACATGTCGACCATGGTCCTTGAAAGGTAGGCGGGGGAATTGGGAGTGCTGGTTGATGGCTGTTGGCTTCGGCACTACGACTTGGATGCGTTTGATACTACCTGGACCTTCTTTCGGGGTGTCCTGGCTGGAGGTCCCGTAGTTGTGGCTGGGGCTTCCATTGGTGACGCCTTTGAAGGTGTAGATACTTGGACAATTCTTTCCGCAGCACCACTGATGTTTAAGGAGTGTACAAGAACAGGCTCTTTGGAGAACGATCGCGAAAGCCACCATTCCGATTCCGACTGGAATCTTTTGGAATCGGGTGCTTTTTAGGAGAGATCCTTCGCCAAAGATGACAATGAAGTTATACATTGGACTGTTTCCTCACAACGCAATGGCAGACTATACCGTAGCTCCTCTTGAACAGCCTCTTAAATGGTTGAACAAACGCTTCAAAAGCTTTTCGAACAGCCAAGTTCGGCCACTCCCCTTCGCCATCCGAGGCCCTACTCGGTGTTCGACGAGTACTACGAGACGGGTTGTGCCCAGGCGACGGTTTTCGGCCAGTGCCGGTGGGTGCCCCTCGCGGTGACCCCCTCGCAGGCTGACCGTCACAGCGACTTGGGTTTTGGGGATCCGGCAAGATGTTTCAACCCAGAGGCGACGCTGGACCCGAACCAACTGCTTCATATTGGTTCGGTCCAAAACCCTAGCAAAACCCTAGCGAACTGAGAGTTCAATGAGCCTTTGGGAAGGAGGAGGTTTTGAATTCACCCTTCAGAACTCCGGATGCTTTTTGGGGTCCCGAAGCCGATGAATTCCTGACGAAGCAACGGTCATCGATCCCCCCCGGCGTGAAGGGGCGTTTGGAGGGTGGCAAGGATACGGTGGACCAAGGGAACCCTGGGTGCACAGCCGATCTGGTGTGGTTTGTGGCGATCTAGAGGTGTTTGATGTGGTTTGTGGTTACACTCCGACGCGAGTCTTCCATGGATCGTAGAAGGCATGAAGAGCCATGGAAGCCAAGCTTCTGCGCAGGATGGAATCCTTTACAAACTCTTTTTGTGGTCCACTTCCATGGAAGGTCGGTTCCATACTACGCAGTATGTATGGACAGTGAACCGGAACGTCGGAGTGTATTGGAGTGTATCAGCTGTGCCCCAAACATGACGGTGTGGTTCCAGAGTGTATCAGCTGCATGTTTTGCCAGGCCATTGCACGCTCTGCATGCTTCGAATATGCCAGAAGCTCAGAGGGCTGTTTGCTTGGCGCCAGTGTGGTAAACAGAGAAAGGGCTTCAAAAGGATTGAATGGAAGGGCAAAAGGTATAATTACTACCTTAGCCTTCAAAGACATTTGAAGAAGTGTTGACCTGTTGGTGTAGTGTAAAATTCCTTAGCAACACAATGGTTCTTAGACCATTAAACCAATGGTTGTTCGAATCCTGGGGATGTAGTGGCACCGGGCCGAACCTCGTGTCTCCCAGTTCGGGGCTCACAGCGGAGTCTGCGGTGGTGGAACCCACCGGACGTCGGCACCCAAAGCTTTTCAGACACCAGGCTGGGTCATTTTGAAGCATATCCAATGAAACCAAACACCTACAGAAAACAAGTGCAACACCACCGGCTTTGCGGAATCATTTCGCCATGACTTGGTCTTTTTTAAACCCAGCCCAGGGTTCACCTCTCTTCCAAATGGTTTTTTGGGGGGGTCCGGGTGTGCTTTCTAAATGGTGCTCCAATTGGGTTTCCTCCCTCCCCCCATTCACCCTTCCAGTGCCACCGCATCCGCTTTTCTCACCGGCGCGGGGAGCTCGCCGCGCTTCCGGTGCCACAGGTGACGCTACTCATCGTCTTCCTGAACGCCTGTTGGATGGCCATCGATATGGACCCTCACTTGGGGGAGATCCTATGTCTCTACTCGGGCAAGGGAGCCTTTCCACATTTCACGATAGACATGCCGGAAATACCAAATCTTGAGAAGATCATAGAAGATCTACGAGTGGGATGAACAGCACCGAAGAAGAGTACAGGTGTGACTGGTTGTCTAGGGGTGTCCATTCAAGCAACCCCACCTATGTAGGTCCTGGTGGAAAGAATTGATGGAAGTCTTTCTTTCATGATGTATGGACAGTCTTTCCCGGCCATAAGTCGATTCTGGGGCTGATAGCGTAACTCTCCAAATAAGATCAAAACGTGATGAACATAGTATGGCACTTGCATGTCAATTTCCCCCCTTAAGGACATATAAATACGTTCAAATCCTTTCTGTGTATAATTCGACCTCCAAAAGTACAGTACTTGGGGTCCCTCCGCAAGCCGCGAGGACTTCAACAAAGCCGACATCATTACGGATTCCCATCCAGTCTTCCTCATCGTGGAGAACGCCGCGCGTCGCAGCAGCTTTTCGTGTTCCCCCCGAAGGAATCGTTTTGGCAGACAAATGAGATGAACACACCTGGGTTCTTTAGAGTGACCTTTTGATCTAGTTTGAGCTCACAAAGGGCCTGTCAAAGGGTTGAGTTGGAGAAGTATTTTAAGACCCGAGAGCTCCTGGCTCAAAGCACAAGTCGAAAGGACAGACCGGGCACACCGGGCACACCTGGACAGACTTCGACGGAGCTAGGCCATAAAGCCCAGTGGTTTGGATACTCACAGGGTCAACCATGGATTTGGCAGCGTGGAGGGGTACCCGGTGGTTTGGATACCAATTTCTGGCGTTTGGAGAAGGTTCCCATTAGGGCTTCGATGCTTGACAGCATGCTACCTATTGTCCGAGGGACTCGCTGGTCAGGGACTCGCTGGGTCTCGGAGAAGTCATTGGGTGTGCTGCCTGGAGAGTGGGGAACCAGAACAGCACCTTCAGCGTATGGCGCTGAATTTCATGCTGCTTTCAATCTCCATGTGTTTTTGATGCCTGGACCTCCGCCAAAACCGACCTCCAAGGCCTTTTGCACCTATTTCTTCTTAGAACTCCTGATCCGCTTCTTCGCCTTCCAACAGAAATGCCGCTGAGAGAGTTCGGCGTTTTCGGGTCCGGGTGGAGGGGTCGACGCGAGTCGGTGGGAGTCGGTTTCTGCGCCTTTCAACAGCTGGCCTCACACGAGTTGATGGATGTGGTCTGAAGGGTGTGAGGGTGCACTTGCTGCATGGCTTGAGCCCACGGGTCTTGGGAATCGCGTTGAGAGATCGCTCGATTTGAAGGGTTGTGGCGATTTACCCGCTGCGGGGGAGCCGGCAGACTGGACTGCTGGTGGTTTTGGTCCCAATGCGCATGGTTCTTCGATTTGAGGAAGCACCATGCTGCCTGGCTTGCTTAGAAACCTGGCCCGACCCTGTAGCTTCGTTTCAGCGGTGGTTGGAGTGGTTTTTCAATGAGCGGAACATGAAGATCCGCGTCAGGAGGATCGTCAGCATCCAACCAACTGTTGCGAGGACGACGGGGTGGGTGAGTGTCCGATTGCATCACCGAATGGCAGAGGCGACGATCTGAGCTAAATCGAAGGAACTGATTTCATATAGGCTCTTGATTAATAAACCCCTCCATTTGAATGCACGGACTCGTGGACGGTATACGACTCGTACCCACTCAGTCCCTTGCCGGGTGTTCCAGCGGGTACTGGTGGGAGAATGGTGTGAGACCATAACTTGGATTGGAAGTCCTCTTCATGTGGGGTGGTTTAGACTAATCATCCCCTATGGTCCCCTCCCTATGAAGAGGATGTTCAATTCAGTTGGGTAGGTCTATTAATCAGTTGAGTCTACATTAGCTCGGATTCAGTTCCCATCTCTCCCCATGTGGATCATCCCGAGTGGAAACCGACAGAGCGGAGCGAAAAAGCCAAGCGAGTCGGAGGGCTGAGGGCGATCGAGTGGAACCAGGTCTTTCTGGGTCCTTCTCAAGAGGGGTTGAGACCATATAGGACTGTGTAGTGGTACATCTGGGATAGGCTATATATAGGGCTGTTCAACCTCTCTTGGTCCCCACTGGTCTCCTTACATGTCTCCTTATACACATTGCCTGCCGGTGGGTGAAAAACGGCCGCGGACCGCTGCTTGCGGCAGCTGCGGAGCCCAGCTGCGTTTGGGGGTTGACCTGGTTTTAATCGTCCAAAATCCTTAGTAAAACTACGGGTTGTTCGGGATGAAGTCCTCTTCAATGAATGGTGGGCGACGCCCAGTGCCGCACATGCGTTCGACTGAGGCCACTGTTTGCAAGACTTGTGGCTGGGCAAGAGAGATGCGGGAGGCAACAACGAGGTTTCGCAGGTGAAGGGGGCCTTCAACTCTGTGAAAACTGCGATGAACACTCACGACTTGAAGGAATCCATCGGTTTCAACACTCAAGAACACCCGGACACCCAAAAAGGCCAGGCTTGCGCCCGGTACTGCGCCTCACAAAAGTGAGTGATTTGGCTGCTTTCCTCCCAGCTCGCCCAAGCTGGGTGTGGCAACTGAATGAGGGGGTCGTGAGGGTCCATACTTCTGACAGCCTGCGCAGACCGGGCTTGGATTCCCAGAGTGCGGGGCTTAGGGAACATCTATTAGAGACAGGAATCCCATCGTTTTGGGGGCGAAAACCCTGTGGTTAAATGTCCTAGTAGATTTTCCCTTCAACATTTTAAACCAATCGATATGGATGGTTTCTTCCTGCATTTGGACCAAAGATTGGGTGGGAGGTGGGGAAATTCATGGGGTTGCCATCCAATGGCAGGTCCAAATATATAGTGGATCTAACAAGCCCGCGATGCGAACAAGGGATTTAGAGCCCTGAAAACTCACATAGAACCTCCAAACCGCATGTTGTCTCGTCCATTTTCAAGCTCTATAGTCAGCCAAAGAATCTCCCCATCACGGAAGCTAAATGAACCCTATAAACCCTCAAGTGGCTCATTTTGCAAACATCCGATTTGTCATCATTGGTGAGTTCCCAGTCAACATACTGACCAACACCCTTGAAGTCAGGAACCAACCTTTTGCGCAGGACGGGGCCCTTCCTTCTTCAGGGGCCCTTCCATGTGACCACAGACGCCGGCGGCGAACTGAGTTGGTTCGTCTTGGACTTGATCCTGATGTTTCTCTATGTCCTGGACACCTGGTTGGTGATGATCCTCGTGCTTGCTGGAGGACCCCCTTTATTGGTGCGAATGTCAGGAATGAGGGCGGCTGGATCCGGAATCTCCCAAACATAGGAGCTGCCCATGCCCTTCTTCCCCACTTAGTCGCACCAATCAGTTTATGTTCTTTTTGTTCCGCTTGGAAGGCTCCCCCCGTTTCGCCGCAGAAACCTGTCGGATCTGCGCGCCCAAACGTTGGGGACGAGCAGATTCGGTCTTGGCACCGTCCTCCGACGCCTGTTCTGTCCGGGGCCCGAACCACCCGCGTTTTCGCTCGGGTTGGACGCGGCGCTCCGGTGGAGATACTTCCGTCGATGGATCCATCTCGGGTGTGACGCCAGGAATCGAGATCGGCTCGGGGGCGTTGGGAGAGCCCAGCCGCGAGGGAGGGTCGCAGACGTCCGACCTATACTCTCGGCGAGGGCGCTGGATGGGCAGCATGAGCTGGTCTGCTAGCAATGGACCTGCTGAAAATCCAGTGCTGGTTGGTAGGAGGTAGGGGGATCGACCGAATCCATGTGAATGTGGGGGAGAGAGAGTCGATCTCGGGCTTCTGGTTGCTGCCTTCTTGATGCTTTTGGGCATGGAAAGCCAAGGGCAGAGCTCGGTGTGGATTCGTCGATGGAGCTCCTGCCTTTCAGGATCGGTCTCGAAGGTCTCGAAGGTCCGAGGCCCTGTCGATCTGATCGATCTGATCGCTCCAATCGCTGGTGAAATGGTCCGGAGGGTCATCGTTGGAAGAAGCGATCCAACGGCCCAATTTACTGCATTTGGATGCATCAACACAATTCCCTACAAGTCAAAGACCTCATTTTACTGGAGATGGTCATACAAAACCAATACTTAAGGGAGGTAAAAGACCAGGTTTTGCTGGGTCTTTGGACTTGTTGGGATTGATTGATTGGCATAGCGCTCTTCATCAAGTGACCAAGCTGATCTCCCGATATCTTTGGGTCTGACTGGAACCGGGGCGACTGACTGATCATTGTTTTGTCTTCTCCAGATGGCCGACTGGTCCATTGAACCTACTATTTAATGCCATTGGTTTGGCACCGCGGAAGGTGAAGGTCTCTTGGACGGGAAGCACCGAACCCATCGAAGCGCATCGCTAGCACGGCGGGTTGCGCCGAAGGTCCATGATGACGATCCTGCGGATGCTACGCATGGCGAAGCTCTGCCGCCTCACCAGGCATCGCATCTGCCGACGTGGAAGAAGGGGGAGGACAAAGGGTGGATTTAGGGAGACTTTTTGGAGGGCGCACTACGTAGGGAGCGGGTGTGTGGTGTGAATTTTGAAGGGGTGACGGAGTGGAGGGATGGATGAATCCTGATGGTTTCAGCTATCTGGGCTTTCTGGTGCACTGGCACTCCAGCGAGCGGTCAAGGGCACGGAAGTTCCCCACCTTCCTCTCATGGCAGCGTTTGGTCAATCTGTCAATACATGTGGCCAATCGCCTCTCAGGGTGGGGATAATTCAAAGTCAAGTACTTAAGTGATCTTAAGCGTGTTTTTCCTGCTTTTTTGAACCTGGAGCCTCAAAGGGCCATGTCCCATTTTCTAGAGTATACTTTGGAGGGTCCAGGTATATCTCTACCAGCGAACTGCAGTAGCTAGAAGATGCTACATCATATTTTGGCTGTGGACGCCAAAGAATTGCATGAATCTCTCTTTTGGCTGGACCGTGAATATTTGAGGTGTGATGTAATTGGTCGTTGCAATTGTTCCTGTGTCACATCCCTACACGCATCCAGACAACACACGTTTGGGTGAAAACACATTCCTGATGTGCTTTCCGCCATTCCTGTGGATGGCTGATCCTTGGCTTCCGACGGATGGCCACTTCCTCACCCACCACGCCAAGTACAGTGCCGTGCCAGGTTGGCCAGGCTTTTGCGAGCAGTGCCGGAGTTGGTGATTATCGTCAAGGCACGTGGCACGCGGATGTGCCGAGCTGGAGCTCGCGGGTTTGGTGACGAGAATGGTCACCTGCCAGGGCCGCCCGCGGAGCCCGTCCCCTTTGGGGGGACGGAATGAGTCGGGGAACGTGCCCCGCTCCGTTTAAACCAGGACCCTCCAAGGGGTGTCTATTTATAGCCCCTTATAGCTGTTAAGGGGTGTCCAAGTAATCACCCCTTGGGGCTCCGTTTGTATCTATTGGATCTCTGATCTTCCAATGGATCGCGAACTAGTTTCCACCAGCTAAGTAATTAGCTGTCTTGGAAGGGACAAGCGCATCTGGAGTTTCACTGCGGGGGCATGTAGGTTTGACTTCTCTCACCTGCTACAGCTCCAAGTTTGTGTGATGGTGCTTAAGGCTATATTAGATGGTCTCGACAAATTGCACAGCCAGGTTTCACAGTGCACCTTCCAAATGCCTCAAGCATTCTTAAGAAAGGTCACATACCAGCAGTCACAAAGGGGTGCTTAATGGAGGGAGTCGGGGTGTCCATGATCCACTCATTTAGGGACTATAAAACACTACCCCGTCTTGTGACTCCTGGATGCTCCTGGTATATGTCACAATCCTTCTCCACTTCTGTGACATACCAGCTCACACTAAGGGGTGTCTATTGATAGCCCCAAAAAGAGGTGATTCGGGGTGTCCATTCACCACCCCGAGCACGTGGGTCCAGGTCACTCCAGGTCACCGCCTCCAGGGTCTCCAGCCGGCTCCGTGCCCCGAGCCGCTCCGAGGGCATTGGCTTCGCGTCGCGCTCGGTGGCCATCTTCTTCGTCTTCTGGAGCCCGAGCAGATGGCGTTCGGGGTGTGGTTTCGGGGGGGTGGTGTGGGAGGGGAGACATCAGATCGACATAGAAGAGCTCCACTGGAGGTGAGTTTGCAAGAGAATGGCCTAATTGGTTCGGAGTTGGATGTACATGACCTACAGAGGGTAAGTGACCTTATAGGATCCTACAGGGGTACCTATAGGATAGTCTATAGGGTTCTTCAACCTCTGCTGGGAGTTTCGCCGTTGACCGTACCGTTTGAAACTTTGGAGAGGATGAACTGGTACCCTCGCGCACGGTCAGGGCTTCTATAGGGCTTCTCAGCCAGATACCTGCCATTCGCTCCACCTCTATGGCGCGGCCCGCAGATTGGATGTTGAAATAGGTGTCGATCTGTTTGAGACACATCCTGTTCTGGCATGAACACATCAGAATCATACCAGGGCCCGAAGCAAACCATGAAAAAGCAACGGGTTTCGTTTTCACCTACAAGACCGTGTGTTTTGCTAGGGAAAGCCAGGTTTTTGATGGTTGGTGGGGCCCCTACTATATGATATATTGCATTGGCACAAAGGCTGGAATCAGAATCGCTAGATAAAAGGCTTCAGTCCCTATGTCACCCCTTTTTTTGGGGGGAGGGCAGCTTCCCACCCAAGCTCTGCCCCTATGTCTCAGGTCCACTGCTTGATCCACGCTGAAGCGCCATCCGAGGACGATGATCACCTACGCCTTTGCCATTGCCATCCGACAGCTCACGGAGAACACCGACGTCCCTCGCACCACCGACGTCCGACGTCCGGCGGTTGGTTTGGGGATCCTCCGCCGGGTCTCGGGGGTTCGGAAGCGAGGGGGGGGGGGGTCCGCGGGTCCGGGGTTTCCCCTCGCGTTCCAGAGCAACATGGGACCTCGATCATATTAGGTACCAGCAGTCACCAAAGGGGTGCGATCCATGGAGGGAGTCGGGGTGCCCCTGTCACATCCACTCGCTTAGAGACCCAACACCACGCCGTCTTGTGACTCCTGGTAGAGACTCATTCTTGGGGTCATGTGTTTGACGTTCCAGTCCGTCAAGCCAAAACAGGATGTATGAGTATAGCTCATGGGGTTCAAAGTCATCATGGGGTTGTGAAGGAACATGTTCTGTCAGTCTTTTCTTTTTGCCACACCCTAAGAATCTCCATGGCAGGGGGTCGGACCCGAACCAAGCCCTAGATGTGTTGCAAAAAAGGGCCCAGATTCTTAGGCTGACCTCCATTTTCAGGGTCCATGCCGACGTCCGCGCTCTGCATCCGGCGTCCGGCGTCCGAAGAACATGGCGACGGTCCGTCCGGCAAGACTTCTGGTTGCTGACCGTGTCCTTTCCCCCCAAAACGGTCTCCGATTTGCGGGGACGTCCCACGGGAAACAGTGCCCGAGGTCGGCGATCTTTACTTCAAGTCGGTGCCAGAGGCGGGTGGGCGTCTGAGGAAGGTGGGGTCTGAGGAGTTGAGGGAATCAACACGGCACGGAGCTCGTAGCTCAGACCAAGCTCTGGTTTTCCTGAAGGTGAATTCTTTTTACTTTCCCTTAGAGTCCTTAGAGGGGTAAATCCACTTTTGTCCATACTTCTGGAGAATTCTTTTTCGCAGGTTCCTGGACAGCAAAGCCAAGAAACAGTGATGAAACTGTTGATGACACTGTTCATCCACCGGGTTTTGGTAATTCTCAGGGGTCTTAATGACCCAGGTCCGAGGTGCTTTTGGAGTGAACAGCACCTGGAGGTCTCAGGTCTGATGGTTCTAGAGACGAAGAGCGGCTGAACTGCCAAAACCCGTTTTCAACCATCGAACGGCTACTGAGCTGCATGCATCCGCCTCTCTCTCCCTCTCACACATGCATGTAATGATCCAAGAGAGCTACCGCCAAACCTCGCCTTTTTGGGGGTGCAAGAATTCCTGCAAGAATGTGACTTCAAACTCCAGCACGCTGTTCATATGAGACCCTTTTGGCGCTGCATGCCCAATTCTTCTTTCAACCAAGATAAACCAAGCTGTTTCTCTTCAGATGCTGACCCGATCCAGCAACCAACAGGAAGTGCTGACCCTTGATTTCACCTCCCCCAATGGGCGAACGAAATCCTGAGATTAAACATGCATCCAGGTCAGGGGGGTGAGACTTGACATCCCAAACCAGCGAGGAATCTGTCTGGCCCAGGGTGTTCCGGTGCCATGAGCCACAGCCATGCCAGGGATTGGACCCTCGTTGGTCTCAAATCCATTCGAGGGACTGGAAGTATAGGGCGTGTTTCACGGAGCCGGGAAGCACCGGTGCTTTTTCGTGTTCTCCCGGCCCGACCTGAGGTTTGAAGGACCCGACCCGTTCGACTACGTATCCGGTACCCCAGGTGAGTCGGGGTCTTCAAGTTCCCCTCGCGCACCTCTCCTTCCACACTCCGCAGGCAATGAACACGCTGCTCCTCCAAGGCGTTCCGCGGCCGCGCTCGGAATCCGATCCCCCCGCGCTCTGCGGTGTCGCGTCTTCGGTGGGCGAGTCAGACGGGTGGAATTGACGGGTCTCCTGTGCGTGGGGTTAAGGTGAAGCTTTGTTTTTTTTGGGGGCTGAAAAACCCTATGGGCATGACATGAGGCAAAGACTAAAGATGGGAAGCAAATTGAAACATGGTACACGTTAGAAGCTCCAAGGTTTGGAGAGTATAGTCGTTTTCGCTGATCTCCAAGCAATATAGCATTCATGTGGTTGAAGCGTCCTAAACACTCAAGACTGTTTTTTGGACAGTGCCTCAGTGCCTCGTCATTTCCCTCATGCTTGACGTAGGACAGTTTTTTGGATGCCTCCTCTCTCTGATGTTTCTTCCAGTCAAACTTCAGAAGCTGCGAAGCTGCGAGAGCCTTATAAACTTTTTGGTCCTCGCAAAGGCCGTTTTCATGAGGGGTAGGACTACGTCCCATATGTCAAGTAATAACCAGAATCCTAGGCACTCCATGGCAGGGGTCGGACCTGACCTCTTCACAGGAATCTTAAAACCCGATGTCGGGCCGCCAGGGCCTGGATTTCAACTGTTTGGGTCGGTAAACTGTTTGGACTGGTTGTTTTCAGGTTGGGACCTGACCATTCCGCATTGTATACGTCAACTTTCGCCATTTGCTGGGTTGCCAAAGCTGCGGAACGTGACATATAGCTGTCAGGTCCTGACGAACCCAGACACTCCATGTAATTATGTATGCATTATGTGCCTACATTGACCCCCTTTCAACCACCCCTGGCCGTTTCTCGGCACATATGGCAGTCCGTGTCGTGTTTGGGGAAGAGGACCTCTTCACACTTTTGCCGGTTTCGCACGTGTCAAAACGTCAGACGATGGCAGGCCTCTTCCCTGAGAGCAGCTTGGCATGGGAGACTGCGAGGGGTTCACACTGTGACGAGACTCGGCGGTGAGTCGAATGACTTCCTCCACGGATATCCGGTTTTTGGAGGAATTCCCTAGGCTTCCAACTTCCAACAAGCATTTAATAGGGCTGAATCCCGAATCAACTAAGGATTTTACACGACAAAAACCCGGTCAACCATTTGTTTAATGGTCGAACGAAAGTCTGGGGAATCTGCATTTTCAGGGTCAACCAGGGTGCCCGGGTTTGGACCCACGGCCACTTCGGGGGGGTCGCAGGCAGTGCGTGTTGCGCATGCCAGTGAAGACGAGGTTCTAAAGTCCTGAAAGATCACATCAAGAGGCTTGAAGCATTCCCCCCACCTGATTTTCGAGCCGCCAGTTTTCAGCCTGGTATCTCTTAGAGTATTTAGAGTAGCTCCTAGAGTACAGCTCCTAAAATGTCCTAAAACCTTCGAATAAGAAGAACGGCCTTTGCGCACGTGTCTTCTCGCGGAGCAATCCACCTCCACGCACCTCTTTCGACCCGAGAAACAGGTCAGGAACTGACCTCATGAACTGGACGTTGGCCGTACCCCAAAAAACCCACCACCTCACGGAGCTCGACCAGGCGTAGGAGACCTTGGACCCTCCGTTTCAACCGTCCGGGTGCCACGGAACTGCTGAGCCTCGGACCGTCGGACCCTCTCGGCGTCTGGGTGGTCAGGCATCGACCTGTTGGCGGCCATCTCCGGTGGTGAGACCTGGTGCTCCCGCCCAAGGGGCCGAAGGGCCATCCCGAAGAATCCTCGGACCCCCAGGTGAAGAAGGTGAGTTTTCAGGGCCCCAAACCCCTGCGTTCTGCAGGGTCCAAAACCCGAGGGTCCCTGCTATGCAGGGTCCAAAACCCGAGGGTCCAATGATTCAGCTCGGGGATTGGAGAGCGACGATGAACCTCGCCTCCCCAGTCCCCGCAGCTTGCTTCCGCCTCCGCGTTCTTCCAACCACCGGGCGACGACGGGGCGGACGACTCGGCCGGGCCGTGGGCCGTGGGCCGTTGATTGGGGAGGGCGACGCAGATCAGAGCTGAGCCGAGGCTCCCTTTTTGGACTGCAGCTATGGCTGGAAGGCAAGTAGATAGACCATAGATCTTCACACGGATGGTCACGGATTTAGTTTGGCACATTGAGGACGCAGGGCATGCACGGGGGACAGGAGGGTGGACTAGGATAGACATAGTGTAAGTTACAGTCGTTCCTCATCCTTGGCCCCCCCCCCCAGTTCCTCATTGAATGTCTCCGGGGCGTAAGTTGATTTGGGAACCTGTTCAAACCCAAGCCCCATTTTATCGAACGGTTCCTGCGCTCCGAGGATCGAGCACTCGAACTGAAGCGATCGAAGCCCGGTTTTGGGGGTATAGGTACTTGTGGCCGTTGACCGTCTTCTTCTTGGCCGTGGTGTCCTTGACCGTGCCCCGGCGCGATAGGGTTCTTCTTGGGGGCACGGGATCTGATCAGGTTTTGTGGAAATTGCGTCGGTCCCGAAACATTCGAAACGGTTTTTTCAAGAATGCCTCTCAGGTCTTTCAGGTTTTCTCTGATTGTTGGTCTAAGAGAAACACATAAAACACGAACTGCCCCTTGAAGAGAGAAACAACTTTAGATCATGGCTTGGTCGAAGGGAAGGTCTTGGGCCACCAGTGGCATTATTTTTTGGAACCTGACAAACAAAACCATTGAATATCAGGGGCAAGCGAGCACTTCTAGAACGGTTGAATATAGAGTGAGTTTCCATTTAGTAGGCACCGCTTCAGTTTTGGCAGGGTGTGACTCATGCTGCATGCTCAGTTTTGGATCATCGTTATCGTGTAGTTTGAAAGGTCACAATGTGGAATGTATGGTGGAGCTTCGTAGGGGTTGTTGTTTCTGTTGTTGGTGGGTGTCTTGCAAATCCCTCCCAAGCCTTCCGCAGAACTTGCAGCTGTACACTTTTTGGTCGATGCATTCGGTGTGAGTTTCCGGAATTTTGGTGGAACAGGTTCTGAAACCATCTGAAACCATCTTCAGGTGATGTACATGCTTGTCGGCGTGTTAGTGGAGGTGGTCCAGGCACGATCTCCGCCAGCTTCAACACTTCTCTCGGAGAGCGGCAGAGGTTGGCCCCCTAAAGAAGTGACGTCTTGGGGCCTTAAACAGTTGGAGGTCGCCGGGGCCCGGCCACTTTTTGAGCAAAATCAGCTTTTCCACTCAAGGCTCAAATACTTGGGTTGTTGGTAGATTACTATCTGGGTGTCATGTCATGGCTGCCCACAGGCTTGTTCTTGCTTTTGACGGTTCCTGCACAAAATGGCATACCGCAGCTGTGGGTTTCTAGGTTTCATGCGAACTTTTTAGAGATGTGTGTAACAGTTGGAACTAACGTGTTGGAATGTTTTAATCCCTATGCTGCTTGGGGGCCGACAGCGACATCCATTGAATAGGATTCAATCGACGTTTGGCAGAGAAGAATTGCATAGTGACACATAGTCACATCAACCTGGACGGATAATCCTTCTTTGAAGGAGATCAACTTGGTTTCTCAATCCTGAACAAGGGCTCACGGTGGGGCCCCGTCAGACGGTGCGGTTTTGGGACACCCCAGTGGATATCCTGTTGGCTTGGACCACCCAGTGGATATTTGGTACCTGACATCGATTTCTTCCGTTTTTGCTTCGTGTCTCCCACGCGGATCACGTCAGGCTCTCCGGCGTGGGTCGCGGGCGGCCGTGGACCGTCGGCCGGTCGATGGTCCGACCGCCGCCGACCGTCGACCGCCGCCCAGGTCGTGGCATCCGTCGAGAAGGAATCCTTGTCGGCCCGGGGGGCCTAGGTCGGGCGGAGGCCGAGGTCTCTGGAGGTTCTGAAGAAGAAAAGGTGGATCACCTGCGGCTCACAGTTCTAGAACGTACACCTGTTTCGAAGATAATGGTGTATACCTCATGTTCTTTTAGAAGCGAACATGAACAGGTGGCACATGGATGAAAATGGTGGAACGTTCGCAAACGAACGGGCATCGATATGGCATCTTCGGTGAACACCTCAAACATCCTCAAAGCACCAACCAATGGAAGGTTGACATCCCGAACATGGCCCAGACACTCCATGCAACTGCCGGACTGCCATAGGACTGCCGCCCCATTGACCCCTCCAACCACCCCAAGGTAGGTCCCATGGAGTGTCTGGGTATAGAGGAAGCTGTTCACCTTCGGTCCGGGGGTCCGGGGGTCCGCCGCCGGCCCCGACCAGACCGTCGTTCCCATCCAACCCGGGCAGCATTGAGCCACGACGAGCAAGTAATCACCCCGTTGTGACCCCTTCTTTTTCTTCCCTCATCTACGAGTCATACTCCACCGCTGCCTTGTGGGCCTCTAGGGATTCAACCTTGCACTCTCAAAGACACGGCGTCGTCGACCGTGCTTCCGCTGATTCACCAGGTCACCTTCATGGCCACCGAGCTGAGGCAAGGCCTTCTGGTGAAAGTGAACAAATATGGGTGCCCCTTCCTTTTGGGGCAGTGTAACGACGAACAGATCGATTGGAAAGCAGAGCCCTCATGAGTCCGGAAGTCCGTTCGTCTTCCGGATGTTTCTTCACTTTTGACCTTCCACGATTTTGGGCGCGAGAGAAGCGAGAGAAGTGCAGAACAGAGATTGGGGGCAGGGTTCAGAGCAGTACCCTTTTGGGATCAGGCCGATGATGGGTATCATGCCTTCCGTGCGTTCTTCCCTACACGCAGCGCGTTTGTGTATTGTAAGACACATCAAGAATCTTTAAACCCATCTTTTGAGGATTTGCTTGACCCTTGGGGTCATTCTGGTGATTGATAGGACACCTTGTTTGAAGATCTGTATACCAGGACCTTCCGTTCGAGGTGTCTATAAATATAGCCTCTTAGAGGTGATTCGGGGTGTCCAAAAACCACCTGTTGGAAGGTCCTGAGTAGTTGGAAGATTGATTGAGTGTCAACTTCCTGCGTTTGAACCTACGATGTCCTCCATCGAACATGCCGGCGCTCCCACGATCGCCGGCCCTTTTTGGCCGCGGCGTGGCCGCGTGCGCGGTGCGGAGGCGTATCTTGAACAAGATGGGCTGGGAGGATGACCAACCGCTTCTCGGTGGCCGGAAGAGGTCGAAACGGACGTCGCACGGGTCGCAGTCCGCAGTCCACCACTTGGAGCCAGTGAACGACCGACATCAGGGAGGGAACAAGAACCGGTCAGTCTCCTGGATCAGGGGCTGGTGAGGACACCGTCAAAGGGTTTGTTCCTTCGACACGTCCTTGATTGGAGCTGAAGATGAGTTTCGTCAGTACCTTAGAGTAGCAACCACGTTGAACAGGGACATCGAACTCATTGTTACATATTTTTAGACTACGTTTGCTTGTTGGTGGTGCCAGTGTCGATGTGGAGCCATTTCGTCCCCCACAGCGACTTGGAGTCGTCCTGTCGATGTAGCACACAAGGTCCTGGTTGAGCTGGTTGAGCTGGTTTTTGGGATGTGTGTCCTTCGAACAAGTCTGCTTCGACTCGATGTTCTTCGGGCTTAGAAACCTTCCATTCGGGCCAAGCTGAATCGGGTCCATGCCTTGGCCCAGACCGGGGTCACACCGGAGGGTCATCCGTCTCGACGCCCCGGACGATTGGTTGATGAGCATCGTTCACTCAGGTCCGAAGCTAATAACGGCTAAATATATGATACCTGGAAGAAACATGGTTGACTTGGTTTCGATAGTCAAAGAATCCGTATAGTAAAACAGTAAAACAA